TACTTTTAGCATTATTTCATCTTACATGTCAATATGTCTGTTACAAATAGACATTCATATGATTATGCAATTGTACCATATGATTTACATGTGACAATGTAATGTACAAGTTGAATTCTGTTGTGCTGAATCAACCTGAGTAGAGTCAAAGAACCAAACCATCAAGAGGTAATTGCAGTATCTGTCACTCCTGACTGACACACCAGAGTAGGTACACAACTCAAAGGAAAATGCTGCTGACAGTTCAGAACAGAAGCTCAAGGATGATTCAAAAATGCCGGTTCCCTGTTTGTTGCTAAGATTTCCATGAAAAAAAAAACTTTTATTATTAAAAGTTTTTTTTGAAGCATTTGAATGCAGGGTGCATCAGGTGCAAATCTTAACATATACAGATAATCTTCAATATATGAGAGCAATTAGGACTGGAATTTCCATCACTAAGCAATTCTGTGGTAAAGGAAGAATGAACCAGTTAGTAATGACAATCCTTGGAGTCCTGGCTGCCAGTAACTGCATCACACAGTCACTAGGCTAGGCAGCTTCCTGCCAGTTTCCCCACAACTGAAGTCAGTGGGAAAGCTGGTAGAAAACTGCAAGACCCAGGTGTACAGGTAGGTAAATGGCTGTTTCTGGGCAGGGAAGGGAATAACGTGTGTAGGAGGCTCAGGGAGAGTGCACAAAAGGTGCAAAAGAGTGTGAGGAAGGGCTAATTTTATTTATTTGAGGAAGAACTAATCAAATATCTTTGAAAATATATTTGATTAGCACTATCCAATTCCAAATGACTCTGAGTGATTCACAATACATGCGTGGGAGATGCAAAAAGCATCTCAATGGGTAGAACTTCTAAGATACAGATGTTTTTGAGCCCTAGCTTCAAATTCTATAAACAAAAAAGAAACTAAAAATAAACAATACAAATCTCTGTTAACAGAAAGGACTTTTTTTTTTTTTTTGCAGTTTTGCAGTATGGCTCCCAATGATGCTCAGGAAAATAATCTGCACATAGGTAAAAAATTTAAGGATCCTTGAAAATTTGAATGTGGTTTCATTTTCCCTAAATTATCTTGTATATGTTATAAAAGAAATAAAGTAGACATAGCCCAATTTTCTATTTTTGGAATTACAATTCCTGTTTCCAAATAAGAATGAGTGTTAATTATAATTTTCAAAGGTTGACAGAAAATATGCCAATGGTCTCCAAGGAAAATACAAAGTTAAATATCATTTTTCACAGCATTTAATTAAAAAATCACCAAACTTTCCTGTTATTTCTACAAGGAAATTGACTTAGCCTTGAAAATGTTCTATTTAACTAAACTACTGATAGTTTGTCTATCTTCCTTCATCTGCAAAAACACTTATTCATATTTAAATGTTAGTTTTTGACTGAAAAGTATGAATGTTATAAAGACGTTCAGAAGATTAGGTTCCACTCTGCCTGGTATATTGTCATATATTGCACCTTGATTGTTAGATGTTAAAGGCAAGGCCTTTGTAGAATTTTTACAAAGTGACATTTATTCCTAAATTTAATCAAGGGCTACAAGGACATGCTATCTTTAAGATATATAGTATAGGATGCCTTTTAAACTGTATGCAAACATGATGGAACTAGATTATCTTCACATTATCATTACAGAGTCACTATGGACACCTGCAACATCCATCCACCCAAACTAGAAATTTCTTAAAGAACAAACACAGCTTTTAACAGGTAATGTTCAAGTCTAGTTCTTGAGAAATAATTTATCACTCCTATTCTAAATCTGATATTCCAACTGATAAAAGAAATCAGGTGAAGCAGAGCCAAATAAATTTTAGGATGGATTCTAGGAATAAAACTAAAAAAAATAAAGATAAGAACATAATATTAACATAAGTTCAACATACCAATATGTAATGATCAAAAGATCAGCCTTTCTCAAACATTTTGCCTGGATGAACCCTTGAAATGATTTTCACAGCTCAGGGAAACCCTACATAAAAATCATTTAAAAATATGAAAATTTCATAATACAGTCACTATTACAATAACCTACAAAACTCATGTTTTACAACATATACAACAGCAAAATGACAGTTGGCAACTGGCAGCTAAATCATACCATATAAAAATTCCCACGACTATGAGAAGTAGCATTGTGCAGCAAGAGAAGTTTAAAAATACATTTTTCCCACCACACTCTCTTGGAAGTCCTAATAATCTCTCATGAAACCCCAGTGAGAAAGGCTGGATTTGATTGATGACATTCTTCTATTGCCAAATGGAAATACAGTACTTTCTCTTCAGCACCTTTTGCAACAACTAGTACAGATTTAAAATCCAACCCCCAAAACTAAAAAAAAAAGAGCTTTAAGGGAAAAGCAGGAAATAAAGTTGAAGCACAAAGCATAACTTCTCCAATTTTCTGAGTTCACAAAACAACACATGTTGAGTTGTTAAACATGCTGATATAAAATATGATTAGCTAGTGGTTCGATGTTATATAAACATACTCAGTGGTTTAATATCCTTGCAAATACACTGATAATTTGGTAACTCCTCTTTGTGAAAGACTTTATTTTTCACTGCTATTATTTTTAAGCAGAAATATGCTTAAATATTGATAAAGGTAAGTACAGAGGAAAGGGATAAATAAAATTTACTAAGTGATCATATATAGCAGAATATGCTCCATATAATTTAATTTACAGTACCTGTAACATCTTAGCACTACAGGCACACCTTATTATCACAGCAGGTGGCAGCACCTACCTGACTTTGTCTAATCTGAGAAAAGCTAAGTAGAGGCACACCTGAATATGAGTTAGAAACAAAACTACTATACAGAAAATCCAAGGGCTCTATGTAAATAAGATCAAAACATTTTTTTAAAATAGAGTGGCAAACTATGTCCATATTTTTCTCAAACATGTTCAGGTAGTCATTAATAGTCAAGTTCAACATATTAGGTGCATTTATTTATTTTAGAAATGTATAAGGTTGCCAACTCTGGGTGACATACAATAAAAACCATTATACAATATATTAAAAATCCTAAATTCCATTAAAAGTTGGAAAAGTACAACCTGTTGGAAGAGCATTGGTGAAAATTATATCCAAATTACTGCCATTTGAGCAAAAAAGTTGAAAGAAGCTAGTTGCACAATAACGGAGGTTTCATTTTTATTATTTTAACAATATACAAGATGACTTGAATTTTTTTCTCATCAACATGACTGCAGTCCTATGATTATTTCTTCCAGAAATAATTCCCAATAAATGCATTAATTTTAATGGGAAATCATTTCTCCTGAGGAAATGCTTGTTTTGCTTTCTACATGAAAGAAGCCCTAACCAAAGGTTTTATCATGTATTTGATGGACCAAATATTTTTACCATTTTACTACAAGGCATGGTATTATGAAAGCTTTATAAAGTTATACTGATTCCTGCTCTCAAATTTTTTAAATATAGTAACATCCACGTAGATCTTAAGTTCAATGTGAATTTAGCCTGTTAGGCTTTCTTTCCTGTTAGGCAAATTTCACCCTCATCCCATATTAAGTATCTTTTTTTTATTGCACTGAATTCCATCCCCCACCTCTTTGTGGCCTGATCCACAAAGTCTGGTAGTTTCACTCTAATCAGATGAAGCTGAAAACGCTATGGAGAATGTTGCTTGGATTGTTGTAGCCAGTTGAAGTAGTGTAGGAACAGACTTTTTAAAAAAATGAAATAGTGCACCCTAACAGGAAAAATGAAACAGCACAATGTTCTCATGATAGAGACATTGCTTAATCTTGCTGAAAAAGCCATATATTGTTGATAAGAAGAAAAAGCTAACTATGGTTTGATTATTTGTGTACATTATGCATGCACTGAAAAGGTTCACACAGTAGATAGCTACGGTAGTACCCCTAAGAAAGCAATGTGGATGGGTAGTACAAGGTTGACCTAACAAGGTATACTGTACAACACAAGCAGTCCTTGACTTACAACAGTTCATTCAGTGACCATTCAAAGTTACAACGGCACTGAAAAATGTGACTTATGACCACTTTTCAGAGTTCTGACCTTTGCAGCATTGTCATGATGATGTGATCAAAATTCAGACTCTTGGCAACTGGCTCTTATTTATGATCATTGCCCTGTCCCAGGGTCATGTGATCCGTTTTGTGACCTTCTGACAATGGGGAAGCCAGATTCACTTAACAACCGGGTTACTAACTTACCAACTGCAGCAATTCACTTAACAGTGGCAAGAAAGGTCGTAAAATGGGGCACAACTCACTGAACAAACGTCTCATTTAAGAGAAATGTTGGGCTCAATTGTAGTCGTAACTCGAGGACTAATTATACTTTCTGTTTACTATTACTAAGATCTGTCAGTGTTTAACAGGGGTTACCCTCCGTCCCTTGGAACCGCTTCACCTGCTATTTTCAGCATTAAGTGTTTAAGCCGCCAAAAGCAGACGGTCCCCCTTTCCATTCTAGCCGCCTTCTTCTTGTACGTGAAGTGTTATCTTGTGTTGTTTTCACACGTTTTCACACACTACACGCACAACCCGTCCGGTCTGCAGTTAAAACTCCAACTGAGATCGGCGTGGATGGTTCCTGCCCAAGGAGAGCCCAACCAATCGACGGAGCCTGGGTTCAAATTACGAGGGAAGGCGGCTACGGGGCCGCCTGGTTCCTGCGCCGAACGACGGTAGTTCTTGTTTCCCTTTTAGCTGACAGGGCGAGCGCCGAGGCGGAGCCAGCGCGGAAAAAAATACAAGCCGGCTCGGCTAAGCCAAAAAAAAAAAAAAGCGTGGAAAAAAATGTCATGCCGCCTTAGAGTCTCGGCGCCCAGAGAGAAAACTCTCCTTGCTTTGGAAGCCCGTCCCGGGAAAAAAACGAAGGGCTGGAAGCGAGCCGGACCTGGGCTCCCCCGTTGCTCTCCACCCCAAGACAGCCGCTCTCGCCCCGCCGCGCCCCTCTGCTTCCATCCAGCCACCCTGCCCGACCCGCCAACCTTGTTGAGGGCTGGGTCGCGTAAAACATCGCAGCCCCTCCTGGTGGTCCACCTAGGTTTCCTCCCGGCAGGTGCGACGGCTTCCATGCTCGTGGCCGAGCCGGTTTGCGGAGCAGGGGAATCGCTGGAGGGGCGGATGAGACGCCTGTTGCCGGTGGTTGACGCTTATGGCCGGGGCTGCTGAGGCGGCCGCCTCTTGGGAGGAGGAGGAGGAGGAAGAGGGAGAAGGAACAGAGCTTCCCCAACTGCCTCCTCCTCCTTCTCCGAGGTCAGTACGGCGTTGGGAGTCGCTGAGTCATTCCGGAGGAGTTTTGTTGGAAGCAGGTGTTTCTCCGGCGGACGGTATTAGCCGTGAGGGGCGCAGATTCCCACCGATCCGGGTGGCATGGTTTTCCTTGCCTGCCACCTTAGGTTCCCACCTGCGGCACCTTGGGAAATCTAGAGGGAAAAGATAATTTGAAGTGAAATAAGCCCCTTGAGCAAATATTCAAGTGAGGTTGAGTGCATGCTGATGTATAAAAAGGTAGTTAAGAGTCACCACAATTTTAGGATAGGGGACTAGGAAAGAACTGGCTCTTGCAAGCGGTCATGGATGTGGAAACCAAGAGTGTGATTTCTTCCTATGTTGAGATAGGAAGCAAATTAAAAAAATATAGGCCCTACACGTTTATGTGTTTAAAAATAAAATGCAGATACTCTCAGAAACCTACTCTCACCCACAGTTGAGTTAGTATTGGCTATTTGGGGGCCTTATCACCATCCCACCATGGTTACCATCTGCCATAAATAGTAAAATATTTCCAGGCAAATTTAAGTTCTGTGTACAAAACAATGGTGATTTTGGAGCAAGAACTGTGTGAGAAGGCTACTTGTATTCATATATTTCTTAACTAATGAATAAAAGAAAAACAATTGTATGCATTTAATTGCTTTACTATTTGAGCATATTTTCTTTCATTGCGCTTAATTCACAACACCACCGTTTGCAAATTAATACAGTAATGGCATAATCTCTCCAACCATTAAATATATTGTCCAGCCTATTTAATAGCCTATAATACTTGGCAACCAGATTCAGTTTGGGTCCTGGTATTTAATCTGTGATCAGCATCTCTTCATTAGGCAAAAGCTTTTTGAGTTTTAAAATGCTAATATTTTGTAATGTACAATATTTTTGTGGAGACAAAACTTTTCACAAAAGTTGTTTGGGCCAACAACACTTTGGGCTTCAAGGATCAGCCTTGAAAATGCATAGATGTTTAATTTGTAAATGTCAGGAAATACCTCTTGTACTTTCTGGAAACATTTTCTGTCACATCATTTTATAATTTACCTAAGATGGCGTCAGTTTACAATTTAACTATGTGCTGGTGAGTGTGCTAAGCTTGCAGAGACATCAAGGGCATTAATGAAAGTATGGATTCTTCAGCATACATATAATTTATCTGTAAGAACAGCACACATATAATTTATAAGAGCCTACAGTATTGCTAGTGCAATTTATGTAAATATAGTTTAGCTTACTTAATTCTGTCATTCTATTTCTTATTTCCAGCAAAAGCAAAGAAAATCTGTCGTTATAAAGAAAACCTCTTGCCTTTTTATTTAGAAGCAGTTCTAGAATCAAACATCTTTTTTCCTGTAGTAAAAAGTAAGTTTAAAAGGATGAGGTAAGAATGCTTTTACAGCCCAGTGTTTAGTTGCTTATCACAAAATAGATTGCAGTCTTGATGTATTTATTTATGTTGTTACATTAAATTTAGTGTACAACTGTGCTCCAATGCAACAATTGCTGAGAGGCAGAGGATGTTTCTGGCTATGTTCAATGCTCTAAAAGTGGAATGACGGTTTGGTTGAGTCAGCTTTCTAGCCATATGAGATCATGAGTGCCAGGCTCAAACTGTTAATCGAGCAATAATTACTGTATAACATGGGGTTATACTTTTAGCATTAAGGGAAGCAAAAAAAGTAGCACTGTTGTGCAATGAAGTAGTTCATTTTATCTTGTAACCTGAACTGTTACTCTTAGTCCCAATAGTAAAAGGATGCCTTGTCCCTTGAAATCAAGGTAGCTGATCTCTCGGTGTGTTGCATATTCTTACCAATATGCAAGCAAGCCTTCCCTAGATCAGCAAATTGTACAGACTTTAACCTTCAAGTCCAAAAAGACAGAATGTTTTTTTTTTTTAGTGACAAGGTTTTCAGATGATATGGCCTCAATCTAGCACAAAGGGCAGGTTACTGCTGTTGTAAGCAGCCCCTTCTATAGTCAACTGAGTATAAATAGGTCCAGCTATTTCCTTAAACTTCATTAAGAATCAGGTTTATGTAATTTCATTTAATGAATCAGCAGGAAAGATTATCTATCTTTCCCAGGAGAGCTATTGTTGACAAGAACAATTTAATATTAACATGGAAATAAATTCTTATTAAGTGAAAGATCTACTGAGAGTTGGTTAACTGTGTTAAAGATAACTGCATTGGTGTAGTGGTTAAGGTGCTAGCTAGAAACCAGGAGACTGAATTCTAGTTCTAGTCCCATGAAAACCTGCTGGATGATTTGGGCAAGTCCTTCTCTCTCAGCCCAGTCTACCTCACAGTGTTGTGAGGAAAATAGCAGGAGGAAGGAGTCTTACATACGTTTGCCGCCTTGAGTTACTTATAAAATCAGAATAATAAATAAATATTAAAGTATTTTGCAAACCACATATATCTTTTTTTTTAAAGTGAAAACCTGGATTTTTTTTTCTGGTTGAGTAGTTTATTTTAATAAAATACCTTAATGGTGTTGAAAAAAGGAAAGATCTTGGAGACTGCAAGGCTGGCTTTACTGTTGTTAGAGACTGACCAAAAAGAAATCAACTATAGGAAAATGTTAAATCCAACATTTATTTCAAGAGGATTGGAGGAAAAATATGGCAGGAACTTCAGTACATACATGTGCAATCTTCCCAAATCACAGAACAGAAGATTAAAAAAAAAACCTTTCCTAAAGGGGTCAATTTGTCTTGAAAAGTATCCTGGATATAGGTCACAAGACAAAACAATAAAAAAGGGCTCAGAAAGAGAATGATTACATTGCAGCAAAACTCAACCCTCTCTTCTACCTTTCCTCAACTGATAGCGCGCATGCACACTTCACACGCACATGTTTCTGATGCGTGCTGTACATGCGTATAAAAAACCTTAAGCTGTGCCGCCTGGACAGCTGAAAAGTGCTGCGCGCAGGTGCACAGTGTTTGAAAAGCCACTTTTTTCCTGGTCTATCAACCTCAGCTGTGCTGCGCAAAGCAGCTGACGTTGAAAAAGCAGGAAATAAAGGACAGGTAAGAGCTCAGGCGGGCGGGTGGGCCAAACAGCAGCAAACACAGAACCGGTTTGGTGTCTGCTGCTCTTCAGAGCTACCAGTTCTATAGAGCTGGGCAGAACTGGTAGCATCCCACCCAGTGGTGGGATTCAAAAAATTTTACTACCAGTTCTGTAGGCATGGCAGAGAAAGGATACTGTAAAATCTCTAATCATAGGTGGTATTTGCTGGTTCTCTGAACTCAACATTTCTGCTACCGGTTCTCCAGAACTGGTCAGAACCTGCTGAATACCACCTCTGATCCCACCCCTGGAACATACCCAATAAACTTCCTCTGTTTTATTATAGTAGTCTGCTTACTCATCAGACTCAAGAAGGGACTACAAGAATACAAAGTCATGAAAATAATTAATGCAATGGGTAAAGAACCACAGCAGAGCTTAGACTTAAAAACTAAGCTAGCTGACCTGTATCTTGCTGGCAGTGATGAGAAAGACTGAGAATGCTTCAGGGATGTTGTCCATTCATGTACACTGAAGATATTAGGACTCTCCAGCAGCATGACTGGTTTGATGAAAATGATGAGATACAAACTTTACTTGTTGAAAAGCATCACTTTTATCATGTCCATCAGGACAGTTTATCATCAGCTACCAAGAACGCTTTTTCAATTGCTCGTAGTCCAAAATAAGCTACATAAAGTGCAAGATGCCGGGCTGAGCAGCAAGCAGACAAAATGTAGGGATATGCTAATAGAAAAGATTTGAAATAGTTTTATTAAGTCTTTAGCATTCCCTGGAGACCTCAGTCTGTTGGGAAGACCAGTGTAGATGGTACAACTTTCATTATGGAGAAGGTTCAGATGCTGCAGAAATGGGCTGAACGATGTATAGTCATCCACAACCAACCATTGTTTATTAATAAAAGATAATAGACAAGATTCCCCATGTTGATACCAACTCCACCATGATTGACCTGATGGTAATGGCATCAAGAGCTGAATTGTACACTTAATGCAACCAGTGTTGATTTCATGAGTCTTCAATACTGTCAACCAAAAAAGCCCATGGAGGGTCATGTCAAAATTTGATTAAATTCAGATGGTATGTCTGTTCCATCTTGGTATGATGGCCTAGTGCTGGAAAATAGAGAATCTTCTAAGGCAGCGGTGCCAAACTTGCATCATCACATGATGTATCACGACTTTTTCCCCTTCGCTAAACCGGGTGTGGGCGTGGCCAGCATGTGACACATTAGCTTGCAGGCCGCGAGTTTGACAGCCCTGATCTAGGCGTTCCCAGTTATCAGTGGTGTTAAATAGGGCTGTTTGCTTGCTCCCACACAGGTCAGTAGGATGTTTATTGTCATGCTGAATGATGTCTTTCAGAACAGTGATGCTGGAATCAAAGTCCAGTGCAGAGAGGATGGGAAGCTATTGGCAAAGTGAAAGGAAATGGTTCTGGGAGACTTCCTCTTTGCTGATGACTGAGCCCTGAATGCAGGCTCAGAGCCAGAGATGCAAGTCAATATGAATAAATTCTCTATAGCTTGTGACAACTTTGGATTCACCATCAATACACTCAATCAAAAGGCTGAAGTAATGCACCAGTCTGCTCATCATGTACCACACAGAGTACCCAACATCACAGAATGGCAGAAACACAATGGACCAGTTCAATTACCTTGGTAGCACCCTGTTGCCAGTAGTGACCATTGATCCATAAGTTAACTATAGAATAACAAGGGCATATTCAGCTCTCAAGTATATTGCACTCAATTGTATGGGAATGTCAAGGAATTAGTCCAGCAACAAAATTGAAGTTCTGCAGAGTTGTGGTATTCATTATCTCTCTGTATGCCTGTGAAACATGGACTGCATATTGAAAGC